TTAGAGTCCTCTACAAAATGGTATAAGCAAGAATTCTGAGAGACCATTTCATGATTCAGGAGAGGCTCCGAACGCTTTGTTAGAAATAGCCACTTCACGGGTCAGAAAATACGTATCCGACAATTTGCACAGTTTGTGACACTTTCAAAGTGACTAGAAATTTTTTTGAGGTATACTACGTGTAGTTTATGACCCGTAGATACTATATTTATCAATTTTGACTTGAAAAAAAAATGTCGTCCAATTTCATAAATATCGATTTTTGAGCGCTCCCGAGCGGATTGGGACCATAGTGGGACGGGGTCAGGGGGGCATGAAACGTAAGAAAGAAATTAAAGATTGGAGATTTCAGCACTGGAAAAAAAAAATGTGCTCGGCTCAAGCATGATGATTCTTGAAATTGCCGCCAATAATTTTTTTTTATTTTGATTTAAGCTAAATTTTTCTTGATACAAGGAAAATGAGGCTTGGATTTAGCAAAAAAGTAGCTTACATTAAGCAGCAAAATTCTTGGTTTAAGAAAAAATACTTCTTGGCGGCAAGTTTAAGATTCTTTTTTTTCAGTGAGTGAAATATTTCATGAAATTTCACGAGGCTGTGAAATATTTCATATTTTTCCAGGGGCTAGAGGATGCAACCCGCACTCAAACACACACAACCAGAAAGAAGTCCCGATTTTTAAATTTTGCGAACATGAAAAGGAATCGGTATTTTTCAATATATTTCACTGATTTCTGAAATATTTCAAGTGAAATTTCAAGATTTTATTTTTTATGACATTTTGCCACCCTGGACAGGGTGAGAGTAATTGGACCGAGTTTATCAGAAACTGAACCAACCCACGTTTTCGAAAAAATTGAGTTTTGCAAGCCGTATATTTTCTCCTATACCAAAAACTAAAGGTCGGAAAACACGAATTAGTTTGTGAAAAGTGGGGTTAAAGATTATTTTCTACATTGAGCCTTATGCAGGTATAAAACTTCAAACCTCTTTTTCTCAGTTTTAACTTAGTGTGGGTTGGTTCCTTTCTCAGTCCAATTGATCGTTGTGGAGTGGAGAATTTATACTCAATTTTTTTATTGCCTCCAAAAATACAGTTTTTTCAAGAAATCTGGGACGTAGCAAATGTAGATACGTGCTGTGGGATTTTTATTATTTCTAATTTTTTTTTTTTTTTTTTTTTTTTTTTTTTGCAGTTGGCCTTTATGCATGAGAAATTAGTTTGAGGTAATTAATGACGATTTTATTGCTCCTATATCTTCAATGCAGATACTAATCTACTTGAGCATCGGCGATTTAGTGGTTTTGAGAAGCCCTCTGATAAGTTAACGGAGAAAGCGGTAACAATAACCAAATTTTTGAAATTGAGTGGTCACAGTATCCCATGAATCTAACTGAAGTAAACTGACCCCTTAACCCCCCACCTTCGCTCCTAGCTAAAACCCTGTGACAGCAGTACGTCTACATTATTCTGTGAAAAAACTGTGTTTAAACCGCTGTCTTGAATGGCATACTAAACAGTGCCGCTTTTGCTGACGGTTAGTTTTTTTTTCTAATGTTTTGAAATCGCAAATAAGCAAACATACAGATGGCTATATCTTGCCTGAACTGAATAAAATACAGTGGATATCGGATATTACAACATCGCTTATAACGACATATCGGTCATAACGACGTGCGATCTGGTCGTGTCCGTGATTGACTTCCCATAGGGTGGCCAATATCATCTCTCTAGACCTACAAAAAAACTCAGGAGCCATCGGAAAAGTGCGGTAAATCACGGTGATTATATCATGAGTATCTTTTTTTGAAAATTTGGACCCTGTAAAATGTTTTACTCGGCGTGAAGTTACCTTACTGCCTGACCGGTCAGGCAGTCAATTGTCTTAGATTTCGAAAGTCTCAAGATAACATTTTTGGCAATTTCTGCCATTTTGGATTTTTGAATGTTAAAAATTTGAGTTGAGATTCAAGTTCCTCGTTAAAAAATGCTCCCTGGCACCATGACGGTAACAGTCAAGTTTCATACGTTAGTGCGCCTTCAATTACATTTGATACCGTGCAATACTTTCGTGGTGGAATAGTTGCATTGGCGCCTACAAACCTAACAGGGATACTGCATGCATTGCGCAACGAGTAGTATCCCTGTCAGGTTTGTAGGTGCCAATGCAACTATTCCACCACGAAAGTATTGCACAGTATCCAATGTAATTGAAGACGCATTAACGTATGAAAATTGACTATTACCGTCAACCATTGTTTGCCAAGTGGTAACTTCACTCCGAGTAAAACATTTCACAGGGTCCAAATTTTCAAAAAAGATACTCATGGTATAATCACCGTGTTTTAGCGCACATTTCGATGGCTCCTGAGTTGTTTTTTTTGTAGGTCTAGAGAGATGATATTGAAATAAGTCGAAATTCACGATTTTGCTCAGAAAAATGGCAACGTCGCAACGTGTCAAAATTATCAAAAGGGGAGCATTGGGAGCATCTTAGCTACTAATTTCACACTCTGATTACAATTTAGGCATCTGTAACGTTAATTTATCGAGAGGGAAAAATCATCGAAAACAGTCAAAAATTCGCTTTTTTCATGCGTGAAAATGGCAACCGCGCGTCGGGTTAATGTTGTCCGAGTGACCCCAAATTTCATTATCCGTGTTTTTGAACATGCTGTAACCGATTTAGGGGGTTACGGCTATAAATTTCCGAAATTCATTTTTTGTGGGCCACCCTACTTCCCATTGACTCAGTGTATTTATGCATCGGTTGTAACGACAATCGGGTATACTGACAAAATCAGGCCGGTCCCTAGAGGGTCGTTGTATCCAATTTTCACTGTAAGTCATTTTTCCATATTTGTAGATAAAATACGTTGTTGTTTTACCACTCGAACGATCTGGAATACTTTTTCGGAAGAATAATGAGAATTCCACAAAAAACGAAGCACGGCATTAATACAATTTTCTTCTCAAGCAACATAAAGTACATATCCTTAAAACTTCATCTTTGCACTCACTGCTCTCTTGCATAATCAGACAACAGTGTGGATACAAATTGTACTACAAAATGACCTATGTAATGAAATCCTCTTTGCTGTTTTTGCCCGATCCAAACAATTATTTTCAGTGACCGTTGCGCCTGTCCAACACTGGGAAGGGAACAGGCAGCCAAAACGCCTACAAGTTTTTGTGTATGCAACACGGACATCCCTTAAGTACGTATAGTTGTATCAAGGCGTTTTTATCTTCATCGCGTCCACAGACTGAGACACCTGTTGGATATGCATGGATTCCGATTGATAATTGAACTTATTGATCTCTTCTCTTCTGATAATCATTTGAAAAACGCGAATACAAAATCAAGACATTTTTTAAAACAATGAATAAGCATCTTTTAATGGGAAATGAAAGGAATTTTAATCCTGATGACATTCAAATGGTTCTTAGGCAATGAAGTTAATCCATTTTTCTGAACTTTTGAAAAATCATGTTCCATCCTATCCTTCCATCCCTTCTTCTTTGAAGGAGGGGGGGGGGGTTGTCTTGCATATCGTGTCCGGTACCTAGTCAAATGCTTTTTTATTTCAAAATTGAAGGATGGTTTTAAGTTTATCCTTGAGGAAAGTTATCAATATCTTTCTTTGAAATTCTTACACTAGTTGTGTCAAATTACGAACAAAAATTCTCTGAAAAATTGGGAGAAACATGTCTATAAATATTCCCAAAAAATCGTGATTTAACGAAGGAAATTTGGAAACGTCTAAATGCTCATACAGTGTTTTTCCTTAGCACGGCAGTACAGGAAACCCACTCCATCGATAGGTATTCTTTTCCATTCGCTTGAAGTGGCAGCTCTTGCCTACACAAAGCATGAGCCAAACTCCAATACTTACAATTTGTTTACCAAGGAGAAGTAGCGGAAACTCAGGAATTTTTAAGCCGAATTGGCAAGAGTGCGTGACATTGAATGCTGACCCGCTCCACGGCGCGTCTCGGCGCGGCGGCGCGATGCAAACTAGACCGTTTCGCGGATAATCTCTCATCAGTTGAATGGATACGAATTTTAGCGAGAATTATTATTGCCAACTACGACGTCAAAACACACGAGATAAATCTGCTGGCGTTGTTTATGAAACCACGTGTCGCGTCACTGACTCACGACCAGTCCTCACAGGTAAGATCAGTTTCCGTCCGTCAATTCGTCGCCCTGCTGATGTAAAGACATAACTACACTTCGAGATGAGCCCTGTTGTCCATCTAACTCAATGGCTCCCCGGGTCCATCCCAATGTGTACTTACGTCTTTTCGTCGGCCGAGTGACGGATTGTTGTGGCGATGTAGACGCATCGGCGCTGTTTCATCGGCAATTTTGGTTCGTAATGATTCCATTCGGCTTTCTTTACAGCTGCGGGCTGATTATTGAAATTGATAGACAAAGCGATAGACAAAGATGACGAATAGGAAATGGAGCGATCTTATTGGTTAAAACGAGTGGTTGTTGTAGACTTTAAGGAGAGAAATGATGAACTCCCCATTGGGCCTCTATATATTGCGTTGCCGTTATTACAGGTTGTATGTAAATAAGCCGCAGGCAATTGGCAATCGCCGGCAATTTACAAGCCAGTGGTGAATATATATAGAAAATTATAAAATTCAAAATAAGCGAACAAGATCAGAGTGCGATTATGTTGCCTATAATGTGAATAGACAATTGTTCATCCTTAAAAACATGGCAGAAATATGCACACTCAGAAGAGAGTGTAGTAAACTCCGTGACATTAGTTGGGTTGAGATCGGACAGGCAACTAAACTAACAGCCTGACAAAGCGTAGAGTATCACAAAAAATGAAGGCGCTTCAAGCCGAGCTCATACTTTTAAAGACCATAACCCTTAAAAATTTCATTATGCTGATGCGCATTATTGCAATTTATTGAAACAACGTGTGAACCACTTGCAAATTGCCGGCGATTGCTAATTATCTGCAACACATACATCGCAACCGCCTGCAAAAACCAACAGGGTAGCTCCGTTTTCTCTTTGTCCTTTTTGCCAATCATTAATTTTGTCCATAGATTTCAATTATCAGCCCAAATAGATGTGAATGGTCGAGACAACAACTCTTCTATCTGTAAGTTCTTTTTTCTCTTTTCAAAAGGTATATGTATACGCGAGAACACTCAGAAATTGACTATAAGGATACCGGAATATCAATTTTTTTCCATAAAAGACCCCTTTAGCTGGGGTACAAAACCCCCGCGGAATTACGCCGTCGTTTTCCCTAAATTTTGCCCTCCCAAAGTTTCAGCCCACACGCCGACAATAAGTATGACGGAAGAAGGTTAAAAGCCAAGTCAAAATAAGCAAATAATTTATTTTATAGGATTAGCAATAAATGATTGCTTCGTACATTCGAACACATTCGCCATATTTAAAATATGTGAGGCAGTCCAGCCTTCCAGATCTTTAGTTTTAAAGATTAATACTTTGGACTTTAAAATTTAAGTTTGAGCTTATCAAAGTAGAAAATGAAACACATCACACACCTAATACTCATCTTAACTCCTTTCTCTCTTCGAAAGGAGAGAGAAAAATCATTCGGGGTGAGGGATATAAAAGTTTCTTTTTTTTTATATTTTGCTGTCATCGCTAGAAGGGTCTAAAATTCTTCAAACAGGAAAATAGATTGCCATGAGAGCTCAATTTCATGAATACATAATCATCAAAGGCGTGGCGTGAAAAGTCGACTATCGATATTTCCCTATTTGAATCCGTGGTAAAGAATCGATTATTAAGGTATTCGTTGCGAACACCCTGTTAATCGATCATTTTCCATAGGTTTAAATGACAGATCAATCGATATATCGCAAAGCACGCTACGCCACTGATAATCATCTGCTCGAGATTGGAATTTATACACAACCACAGAACCGCATGAATACTTCACTGAACACGTGTGTACAAATTGATGTGGCTGCAATATGCATCGAGTTACATCCTCGATTAATTATCAAAAGTAATTCTTTTTGCAATGATTAAGTAAATGAGTCCTCAGACGCTTTCCTCAGTCTATATTCTGTTGGAGTTAACATGCCTCTGAAACACAAAAAACGATTTGTTTTATTCAGCGCTACAAAATTTCTAAACGGTGCTAAACAATTAAACACATTCGAACAGGTATCAAGAATGACGTATGCCAAGTCATGGCAAAACATTAGTAAGGGATAGTTTTAAATTCAGCTTTTTGAAAATATTCTCCTGTCAAAAATTAAGAGTAGAGAAAATATTTTTAAGCGTATATATATAAGACTTCATTATTCAAAACTTGTGACAAGTAACATGATAAGGAATACATAATGATAATCTTAGCACCAACTACAAAATAGGAATTGTATCAATGTGCTTATGTAAATAAAAAGTAAGAATAAACAATTTTTTAAGGTTGCACTGAGCGTTTGTTTTCATGACTGTACCTATTGTACACCATACATTTTTAAGCGTGAAAGTAATTTTTCAACTTCGTCCTCAGCAATGAGCCACACATATGAAAGAATACATTTTCAAACTTAGTTTTTCTCGGTAATGACTTAACGTGACTTGGTGCATTTCTAATTAACTGCTTGGTCCATTGATACAAACAAAAAATCCGAGTTTTTGGAAGTTTTGAAAAAAAAAATTATATAAAAAAAATAAATTTAATCGAGCAAGAGTTGAGAAGCCGTAACATTTTCCCCTCCCCCTACTACTTCAAATATTCCACAAGGGCTAAACCTAGGCTTTAGTCCCGTCCCCTTTCCATCCCTACTGAAAAAGCAGTCCCATGCAACCATTGTTTGAGACCATCAAACTCGGATCGGTATCTGTTTATTTAGCCACGTGGCGAACTGCAACAAAAATTGTTGCAAATTGCCACAAACTCTGGGTGCTGTGTGGCTAAATGAAACAAGAAAAATTAGTGTGGCTAAATGCAACAAAAATTTTTGCAGTTAGCCACAGTCTTTGGAATGGCCTACCGAATTCAGCAAAAAAAAATGTTATTGATCTTCCCATTCTTATTTTACTGCAGTGTAGGTGATTTTATTGAAGATCTGAAATAGATTAAAAATAAAAAAAAGAACCATTCGTATGTATTGAAAACAATTTTTTTAAAAATAATTTTACCATCCTCCACTAGTGACCGATGCAATACTGATTCTACTTTACGCTGAAATACATGAAAATCTACTAATAGGAAAATATCCGAAGGAATTATTGTATCCAGCTCTCCTTCCTTAGATTAGGTCATTAGGTAAAGTTAGGTTAGGTTAGGTTATGTTAGGTTAGGTTAGGTTAGGTCAAGTTCGTCTCGATTAGGTCCGGTAACGCTGCAATGCAGTTACCTGGTTGTATCCTTTGGCCATGTGGCTAACTGCAAAATAATTTGTTGCACTTTGCCACGTTTGCCACACTAATTTTTCTTGTTTCGTTTAGCCACATAGCACCTAAAATGTGTGACAAGATGCAACATTTTTTGTAGCATTTTGCCACGTGGCTAAATGAGCTGTGGCTAAATGAAACGTAATCACTCGGATCGCCTGGCCGAGAACCGAACCCGGGACCACCCGATCATGGAGCTAGCGCTACAACCACTACACGGAAAAAAAGAATTGCTGATTCAGCGACTCAATTGCTAAAAACAGTGAGTGCAATGTTTCGAGATTTTACGGCAAAAAAATGCTACTTTAACCACCCCCGTGGTTAAACTAGTTTACAATGTGGTTAAAGTAGCATTTTTTTGTTGTAAAATCTGCGTTGAAACATTGCACTCACTGTTTTTAGCAATTGAATTGTTGAATCAGCAATTTTTTTTCCGTGTACACCATTGGTGGCCGATATTCACGGATGAAGTTGGACATGCGTGTCAGCGTTGGACTGTTGTTCTAAAAAGGGGACAATCAAAATTGTTCGGTGGAATGTTAACGGAAGAGTATGCACGAGTGAAGAAAATCTAAGGGAAAAGGGGAAAAAAATAAATAGAAAATGTTCTAGGCTTTTCAAGACTGCAGCCGAAGATACGCGTTCTTCGAATTCAGCTATTGATTTTTTGGACCAGCGTTAGAAGAAAGAATGTTTTTATTTAGACAAGTTCCTTGATTTTACGACAGTCTACATGACCCTCTCAGTTTCAGAGGATCATAACGTCGCACCTAAAGTTAGCGGGTGTCATTGCCCATAGCCCAAGGCGCCGAGGAAATAACAGCGCTCTAAAGAGCCGTTTTTTCAAGGTATTCCTTTCAAAGAGCATCAATGCCAGTTCTTTTACCGGTGGTTACACTTGTGTCCTTTCTTTGAAATTTTTTCATGCGTATGATTTTAATGTATTCCTTTTTTGCAGAAATTGTCATTGTCAACCGTCTTGCATATTACGTAATTAATGAGTCCTCTCAACGCACTCATATCGATGCTGCAGTATCACTGCTCACGTTTTTATTATCACCGTTTTTCTTTTTTTTAAAAAAAGAAAGAAAAAAATGCTCATCCGAATCCATTATTTATGGACAAAGTTGCTTCCAGCGGGACCAAGTTAAATCAGTCATTGTAAAATTTTGTTGAACAATTTAATTTTCATTTACAGGAGATCGGTTGTACAGATTTTTTCAACAATTTCATGGAATTTGCCTCACGCGACAAAGGAGGTCTTCTGAAAATTTTCAAAAGAATCTACACCACCGCTCACCCGTAAAAAAAAATAAAAAAAAATATTAAAAAAATCATCCAATGGAATGTGAAGATGGTTGATGTGACTTGCGAGTTTCCTCCGCCTGATAAAGTCCACCTAGTCCACGTCTGGACAGTATATTTGAAGCAAAGGCGAAAGCGACATTGAAATCACGACAAAAAATTTAATTAGAATTGTTGCAAGACTCGCACCATCTTGCCTTCAATTTTGTAGATGCAACACGGACATCCATTAAGCACGAACAATTGTATCTCTACGCCGTTATCAACGCGCGTCGTTTCCCTAGCTCCCTTTCTGTGTTTTTTCTGTTTGCGCTTCTCTTATTTTGTAGTGTCTCGTCCTTGGCTATTTGACAATGAACAATGGTCATGGATGGCTGATTATTGAAATCAATAGACCAAGTCATAGAAAAAAAAGATAAAAGGAAAATGGAGGAATCCTGCTGGTAACTCCGAAACTAAACTCACGGCAAACCTGCTGATGTTATATTTGCTCTTTAGCTTGCATAGAGAGTTTGTCTTGATATAGAGGTGGACTCTCAAGGTAGCGTGAGATATAAACCCTTCTCCCAGAGATATAAACCAGTAGACAGTAGACAGTATTAAAATTGCAAATTCCTGACACTTGCAAGAGGTCCATTTGCGTCGAACATTAAAGTATCATTTTGGAGCATTAGCAACAAAGACCATTGCGAGTTCACGCCTCGCGCAATCTCGCCTTCAAATTTTTAGACGCAACACGGACATCCATTAAGCATGAATAGTTGTATCCCTACGCCGTTATCAACGCACGTCGTTTTCCTTGCTCTATTCCCGTATTATATTTATTTGCGCTTGTCTTATTTTTAGTATCGCGTCCTTGGCTATTTGACAATGGTCAATGGCCATGAATGGCTGATTATTGAAGTCGATAGATAAAGTTATTGGAAAAAAGCTAAAAGGAAAATGGAGGAATCCTGTTGATAGGTACGAAATTTTACGTACGTGAAAGTACTCATCATGCATGCAAGAGCTCCATTCTCACCTTCATATCAAAAAACATATGAGAAAAAACGGGAAACAAGGCTAAAAAAGTACACATAAAAATCTGAGACGTTTCGGCTGAAAACTGAGCCATTTCGAGTCGGAAGAATAAAAATTCCAAATATTTGGAATATAATAATAATATGATTCCAAATAAAATAATTTCCATTGTTTTTTTATTTCTCGGCGATCATGCAGTATGCAGGTTTCTATTTGGAATTTTTATGGTTTATTTTTATTCTTCCGACTGAAAATGGCTCAGTTTTGAGCCGAAACGTCTTGGATCTTTATATGTATACATTTTTAACCTTGTTCCCCGTTTATTCCCCTATGTTTTTTGATATCACCATTGTCACGGGCTGCTGTCTTAGAAATTTTCACCTATTCTCACCTTAAGACAGTATCAAAAGAGACAGAGATGCCCTTGTCAACCATTTTTCGGAAGAGGTGCCAGCACTCCTTCTCCTTAGCGGTATTGAACTGGGGCTCAGAGGAGGCCGTTTCGGGGTCGTCTCTTTGCAAAGGCACAGAGATCGTGGTTCCAGGTGAGCCGCCAATGGACAACGTTATCGCCGTCACCCCTTCCCGCTCACAGGAGGGTTCTGTGTCCTCGTCCACCTCCGCCGCCTCCGAGGAGATCAGTATCGACTGCAGCTTCTGCGGGTCCTGCCCGTTCGTCGCTCTTTCGTTATCTTTCCCTTCTCCTTCTGGCCTGTGGACAGAATCGTACACTATGTACAATACAGCCTTTTGCTGTGGGCAACTACTACCCTAGTAGCAGAACCACAGAAGGAAAAGATAAATATTATGTACGAAAGTTAATTTTTTTTTTATATAATGCATGCATACAAAAGTGAACATTTTTATGTAACCATTATATAAAAAAATGTTATAATTTTCGTGAGCTTTTCGCGAACATACTAAAAATTCTTCTAATTCGCGAAAAGCTCACGAAAATGATGACCTATTTTTTTATATAATCGTTATATAAAAATGTTCGCTTTTAACTCTTTCGTATGCATGCGTTATATAAAAAAATAAAAAATGTGTATAAAAAAGAATTACCTTATCTAGCTTTTATCATTTTTCATATATTACGGTCAGGTCTGAACTTTGATTGTTTTTTATATAAGCGTTACACGTTTTTTACATAAAACGATCATTTAGATAATAGATGTTTTTTTTTATACTTTTTTTAGAAAAACAAAAATTTGTTCTGCTACTAGGGTGATTGGACGTATTTCTATCAAACAGAACTATGTCCAGGAGGAAAGATGGGGTGTGCTCCTTAGTGGTCGGGCCATAAGTATGAATGGGAAATATAAAGCGCCAGTTATGTCAGCGGCAACGACGAAAGAAACGACGAAAAAAACGACAATCGAGGCGGTCTGTGACTCATGAGCCCTGTCCTTAAGGCTCTAGATACATGCTCACGGCTCATACACTGTGCACATATTTCCGTTTGACAGAACTTAAAATCCTGCTTCTCCAATTCAGCAAACGGAACTGTGAGCCAACTTGTGGAGAGGGCTCATACGTTAAAGACTGCCCTGATCGTCGTCTCTCTCGTCGTTGCCGCTGACGTCACTGGCGCTTTATATTTCTCATTCATTCTTATGGCCCGAGCACCAACGAACACACCCCATCTTTCCTTCTGCAGTTTTTCGGAAAGTTCTGTTTGATGGAAATACGTCCAATTCTAAAAGCCATCAATCTGCATTGAGGAACAAATAGTACAGACATCGTTTATGATATGAGTCGGAAATGGACGTATTCCTGCTGGAAAGCATGAGTGATGAATAGATGAATCGGAGAATCGGCTCCCTTCAGAAACTTTTTCACCGTACGTAAGGAGACAGAGCGCAATCGCTAGAATAAATCGTCTCTGATTGGACCCTAAAAAAATTATAAAAATTATATTTTAATTGTATATTTATAATTATATTTTCTATTTTTTCCCCAACACTCAAGCATATAATATGCAGTTAGATACATATAACCAATCTATATAAGTTAATTAGTGCCCGTAAAAACCCGGATGAAATTCATGCGACATCCATCCATAGTCCACGCCTGTCAAATAGACCAGTGGACAAAGAACAATTTCAGAACACAGTTCATCGGCGAAAGCTCATTTTATCCGTGCGAAACTTGTTGAACTTGAAAAAGCTTTTGAGAAAGATATGACCTTGTAAACACCGACCCTCAGAGTTCCGCAAGAGAAAACGATGACCTATGCAAGATGCCTTAAAAACAATTCAATCTGAACCAAGCGTTTTGGCTCTCTTTTTTGAAAAAAGACTAACGGACCAAAAAAACTTAAAACGCAAATTACCGTTCCTCTGGCGATTTTCAAAATTAAGCTCCATTAAAGACTTCAAAATTATGATCATTTTTGGTCTGGATCATTCTACAGGACCGTCAACAAAGGATACACAAGAGCGCCTTCAAACCACCGTGTAAACTTAATGGGAAAATCTAATACCACTATTCGTGCATCGAGACAATCATTTTGCATAACCGACTAATTGAAGGGAATTTATAGCCCTTGGCGACAGGGTACAATATACAATGTTTTTAAGAGCATAACCAAGGGGACCGCCCCCCTGGCAACCAAGAGGCCCTGCACCGGGGCTGCCCCCCCTGGCAACCCGGAGGCCCAGAGACGGGGCTGCCCCCCCTGGCAACCAAGAGGCCCTGCACCGGGGCTGCCCCCCCTGGCAACCAAGAGGCCCTGCACAAGGGCTGCCCCCCCTGGCAACCAAATGGCCCTGCACCGGGGCTGCCCCCCCTGGCAACCAAGAGGCCCTGTTTTGCGCCTGTGAAAATATTCAACTCTGCGTTATTTAATTAGTGTTACTTGTTGCCATCCCCAGTTTTGAAGGGGTCAAATACTTAAGTATTCTTAAAAGTAAAGCATGGAAGAATTTTGGTTGTATGACTCAAGTACATGTAGATAGGTATATTTTTATGCTTTTACCTAAGGAATTTATAACTAAGAATGGGATTTTTCTGAAGATTTTTTCTGAAGATAAGAAAAATTTCTCGAATGAACGCAAAAAATATTCTTTGAGGAACAAAAAGTTTTGCATACAAATTTAAGATTTACCTACCTAAGTACAGATTTTTCCACTAAACTATTTTCCCAGTGAGGTTTTAAAACTAATCATCTCGGTAGAATGACTCGAAAACAAAATAAATTGAATCGAAAAATGCTATTATCGCTTACCACGACAAATAAATAATAATATGGCAATAATACTTAACAAATGAGACAAAAACAATATTGTTAAAGATAGTTTATTATTCTTCTTTCAATTTTTTTTTCGCTCGTGTATGGTGAAGGCTTTTAAAATCATGTTTCTAATTATTTGATCATACCTTTTTTTCAAGTTTTGATTTCTTTATATTTTTTTATAAATGATTAATTTTTATATTAATCTTTCTTTTATGTCAATTTTTTATATTGTTAATTATTATCATGATACAGAATAAGAATAAAAATGAGAATCATAAACACTGAAGAAAGTAAACATCGTTGCTAGAGGAAAAAGAAATCCTCCTCTTTTTCATTTTCTAGTTTCCCTCCCTTACAATTTTACCCTCATTTTGACATACATTTGATATTCTATAATCTGAGTCCATCCGTCAGATTGTGGTTGAGAACATTTAATTTTGAATGTACCCCTTGCATTAAAACTGAAAAAAATTTAAACCCTTATGGTTGATTTTCTAAGAAAAATAAATTAAAATTGAATTTTTCATTTCGTAACGACCCAACTCGTAAGAAAAAGATGCTAATTTTTTTGCGCAGAGACACGTCCTGGCTGTCACGCAGTTTTTATCGTTTCCTGAAAATTTTCATTTTTCCGAGATTGGTCGTTTTGGAACCGAGCGATTCAATTTTCGAAAAATAACGTAAACGTGTAGGAAAGCACCCTATAAAAATGTTGTTTAACTACTACGTGCTTTGGGAACTGATAAAAATTGTGTGGTATTTTTTATTTTTATCCGCATGAATTTTACACTATTTCTCCGAAAACTGCCTCAATTCCGTGCATCTAAGAATACATATTCTCGTGCAAATTTCGCAACCCTCGATACGAAAAAGGAGACATTCGGAAACGATGCCGATGCAATTGCGTGCACCCAACACTACTTATTTTATTTCTTCATGGCTGTGCTAAAACAGAATTTTTATCGAGTGCGTTTATGAGACGAGGGACCCATCACCCCTCCTCCCACCCTCGAAGGGAGGAAGACTTGACAAGCTTGCATCGCGGGGAAAATGGGACGGGGTGACGAAAGGATTAGGTCGAGACGAGTACGATGAACGGATGACCCGGGGGAAGGGGTGGAGGGGGTGGAGGGAGTGGAGGGGGGTTGCTTCGAACTTGGAGCTGTGGAAATAGGGTGAACTTTCTCATGTTCTTCGACAGTATCTGCCAAATATTTCAAGTGCAACCGGCTCCGGGACATGGCCCCCGATTTCCCGCCACCCGCCGCACACGGGCCAAGAACGATAAACCCCGTCTTGAACGCCTCATATTCGCCTTTCCGTGATGTGAGAATGGGTTGAGAGTGTTATTTATATTGTCGCAGAGGCTGCGATTTGAATGGCTTACGATCTTGCACGACCTTAGAACGAAATGCGGTTCTTGACACGGTTTCGTCGAATAAGGGCGCGCTAACGGCCTGGGAAGATTATCATTTCACCCGGGTCGCGTCGTCCACAATTTTGTGACGGATCAATGTTGTTAAAAGCAGCCTTTATTATGAGTAATGCATTTCATGTATTCGGATGGTTTTACGTAAACAATTAAGATGACAATTTACGGGAAGGCATATTTGGTACGGGACTTTTATCTTTTGTGACAGCCCACGGGACAAAAGGACCAAATTTAATTTGTATGTTTAGCTAAAAAGTGGTTTAGAACTAGTAGTCGCCACAAATGACGAGGGGGGAGAAGCGATTTCATCAGAATGATGACTTTGGCCTTATTTATGTGACTGAATTTTTAAACATACATAGCTACGATGCCTGCTTAACTCATGGAACATAAAGTTTCCTAATTCCATCAAAGATGCAGAAAAACTTAAAAATTCTATAGAAAACGAAATTCCAGGAAACATTTATACAACGCATTTGCATGGATTGAAAAAGGTAATGCGCATTTAAAGCAAATTCTGGGAAGATAAATTGTAAATTATACCAGAATATCTAATTATCTTGATAATAAAATATACCTTATTGATACAATATCCTACAATAAAAGTACACGACCTGTGGCTAAACGCTTAAATTGATACAAATTAAAAAATCGAGACGTTTCGCCCTAATTCTTAGGCAAATTCAATCCGATTAAAATTTTTTGGATTGAAAATGCCCATGACTTTTGGGCGAAATGTCTCAACTTTTTAATATGTGTCAATTTTGCCTTTTTTCCCAGGTCGCGTTCTTGTGGTGTACTTCGGGTGGGCTATTTTAAATTATCGTATACATATAATATCATTTCTTTATAGAAAGCCTTAAATTTCAAATGAATGTAGAACATGTGTAAGGTAGTCTCCGAAAAAAATAAAATGCCGCTAGTATCTCATTTTTTGCGCTGAACATCACCACACTGTTTTTTTGAGACGTAAAGAAGTTTTGCTCCTGTTAGAACGTAGTCGAAAATGAGTCCTTGGCATAGAATTATTTCGGCGTAATTTAAAAAAAAATCAACCGTGCCATTTTCGTCTTTAGTACTTTTATTTTCTGCTTTTCCAAGTACAGCAATGTGTGAGAAAAAAAGAAGGAAAAACATGGCAAGCTCAGTTTTTACGAATAACGCTCCTTTGAAGCCCGGAAAAACTCACGATGAACTTCCCTGTTCAAGTTAAAATAAAAAGGGGATTGAAAAAACATTTTATAATAAAAAGTCGGCACTGCGATGGGTGGACATCGGGCACCGTGCGACGGAAACTCCTCAATCAATGAAAAATATAAATTAAAATTGCCTGCAATAAACAATGATGCAAATTGCCGTGCAGCGATGCATTCCAACCAATCAAGGCCCGCATGAGCGTTTATTTCATTTACTATAGTGGCTACAAAAAATCATCCGTGGGACAGGCTGTTAAAATGTGGATGAATGAGTCTCGTAAACAAGAATGTTAAAGAATCGACCGAGCCGAACTTCACTGATGCACTTTTGCCAAGTCTTTAGTTTTATGACCAACGTAATGAGGTTGCTGAACGTTAGAATTAGACTTCGTTAATAAAGAATCATTTTTATTTTAAGAATGTTCTAAGGTTGGATGTATGATTTTATCTGATCTCGTTCTACAGTAGCCGGCAGCGGAACATTAGCGAGAAACTAAACATCATAAAGAAATCAAATTTGAAAGAAACTCTTCAAGTTGCATAAAATTTGAACCGCGAGTGAAATAAATTTGAGGTCTTATTCCTCCATAAAACGTAATGCTAAGATCAACATTCTACATTCACGTTCAAAAGATTTTTTCTCGACTTTGAGTTTCAGACATGGGAAAATGTATAATTTATAGAGTTCAAAAATATTCCTAACTTAAAAAAAAAAAAAAAAAAAAAAAAGCGACTTGAGCGTTTTTGTAAAAGTAGGGCCGAGTCATGCTTTGCCATCGAAATTTCATATGGAACCTGGTAAGCGTGGTAAAAATTGACCAAATCAAGCAGAAAGAAACCAAGTCACTTCAGCTATCGCCAAATTTAACTAAGCAATTTCATTTTTTACGAGAGAATGTTGTGCTGATTCCTCTGAAAAATGTCAGCAATTTGCTTCGTACTTTGGAAAAAATCCCGTAAAATCTGCACAAAAATCCACACGATCATTTTCATGTAAAAATTAAATTGTTCAATTAAATTTAGCAATAACTGATATTGCTTGGTTCCTTTCTGCTGGTTCAAATTTCGATACTTTAGCCGCAAAAGTGAAAATTTACTTATAACCTCGAGTTAGGTTGGAGCAACGAAAACATTGAAATTAAAGTGCAATTTGATATCAATAAAACTGAAAATTTTTTTATCATTAAATTGTTATATTTTTACATCATTAGGTAGGTTATGCCGAATTTAAACGATCAACAAAATGAGTTCTATGTGTTAGAGAGAATGTTAAGCATTATGCAATGCAATGAAAAATTGCAACTTATTTCAATTTAATTGCAATACGTTTAAATAAATGGGGCCCCTTCAAATAGGAGCTAGGCAACATACACAACACCCAAAGGAATTGCAAATTTTTACAATGTAATTACTACGAATTGCAATCAGTGCTACTTGGGAATTAGGATCTCCTCTGAGCGCTATCTAATGATTAGAAGCTCATACAAACCTCAATAACTCGTTCGTTCTTGTTCTAGCCAATTTTTTGTGATCCAGTGCATGAGTCAGCTCTAGACGATCGGTGGTTGGTCCCGTTTTTAGCGCATGAGGAATGATCTCTCGGGTTCCATTTTCAGAAATAGGTGGCTCACTTCGCCGGCCTGCAAACAAAGCTGAGTGCGACTTCACTGCTGGGCCAAGCAGCCTAAAACTCACTGTTAAAAGAAAGAAGAACTGTTGAAACTTTGATCACAATAAAATGAAACAAGAATGATGGACATTAAACTAATTTCATGAAAAAAAACACACTTTCGTGTGTTTTTGAATCATTCTACTTTTATGTGCAGCTTTTTTTTTGTTATGATAGTCTTTGGCAGATGAATGAAGTGACACACTAGTAATTTCATTAAACTTGGATTATTAGGATTTCTGTTTTTAATATCTATTTTAATTCCATTTATATTTTATTACAATGACAAGTTAAATAAAACTAATAATTTTCAAATTTGCAAATTCTATTTCTATTTCTATTTTATTTTTATGGGAAACCATTCATGGCTGGAAACAAACCGAATTTCAAAGACGGTTTGGGGTGTTTCAACCCTCTCCTCGGCCAGAAAACATAAATAAAATAATAAAAATGAAAAATAAAAAAAAACCCTCATTGTGGTAATAAATAATAAGAGGTTATCGCAGAGGCATAGGATATTAGAATGTACACAAAAATAATTCTTCCAAAAAGATGCATGGAAAAGTGAACAATAGACTTAGCATGGACCATTGAGTATAGTGAGATTGAGGTTCCACAAGATATATTCCTTCATTAAAATTTCAGGCAAAAAACGTTAAGTTAGGCAAAAATTCAAAAATAAATCAATGAGTGAGAAGTTAGAACACCGTATATAAATTGAATTCGATTCACTCAAAATTCTGGCTTCCATAGAAACCAAAAGCAGCATAAGTCAAAGTAGATATCTATTGAAAATACACTTGTTGTCCAACAAACGTGAATGCTGTGCTCCACAAAAATGTCAAACAACATGTGCGTTGTTCTAGTTTTATCTCAAAACTGGAGAGATATGTAGAAGCATATTCCGCAGACTGGTAGTAGGGCTTTTGCGTTGAGATGAATTTTTTTCAGGTAATAATCCAAAGACACGACTTCTCGCTGAGTCAATCAGAAATATATTTACAGGAAGTAATTCGAAATAACGCGGAGATACTGTTTGAAACAAGGAGATTCTTATGTTGAATTAACACGAATCCTCTTTCAGAAATTATATTTGATCGAACTAAATTTTTTAATTCGAAACTACAATTTCTGACTCATCTGTATAAACAACTAAGTGCATAGGGAAACTAATGGCCAGAAATTGTAATGCCTGATTGCAAAATGGAGTCCAATCCACGAAACACATTTCTCCCTTTCTGGCGAGTGCCAATACTTTTTTAAAATTGATCCGCGGGCTGATTGTTTAAATTTATAGACAAAATGATAGACATAGAAGACAAAGGGATATGGAGGGATCCCATTGGTCGAAGCGGGTGGTTGCAATGGACAAAAGATGTAGGTAATAGACTAACTAACAGCAACCCATACTTAGTCCATCATTTACCCCATACCTTCTCAGTCTATAGGAGCCAACCCTATCAACCGTTCGGATGGGTCTATACACCGGCAAAAAAGTGAAGTTTATTTGACTTTCTGGATGTAAAAAAAGTGTGCGAGAACTTATGAAATACTGGACTACCCACCATATCAGTTAGTTCTACAGCTTGGCATTGCTAGAATAACTGACGTAGCGGGTAATTCAGTATTTTGTGAG